ACATTTATTATCCGTTCTGGGTTTTTGGTTCGGAATAAAGGGGAAGAAACATGTCTGAAAGATTTATTGCATGTACTGATACAGTTCCTGTGGCCTAAAAAGAAGTTTATATGTGGATACATAATCGACGTGAATGGTCGACATGATGACGTGGAAAGTGAGAGGAACAATTTTTGTCTACGCAGCTGAGTTCATAGCAAAGACGTTGTTTGTTAGTTTTTAAACAGTTATGGATTAAACCATTGAATTTTTTTAAAAAAATTATATAGTAATATCATAGTAAATCGACTGAAAGTCTTGATCGGGTGGTTAGAACTCTTTCGTAATGGAGAGGTCCCAGGCACAATCTCGGCCAGAAGATTGGCTATTCTCACGGAGTTTTCTGTTCATTTACTTACTCATTATGGTAAGTATCACGACCGCTTTATTTCACATCCTTTTTAATTCATAATTCCTGATTTGACACTGTAGTCTCAGATACTGAACATGTCCTTACATAAACTATAAAATACGTAAACGACTGTAATGTTGTCTGGTTAAATTTATTATTGTATGAACAACGAAACACTTTACCTTTCTTTGCATAATAACGCGAATTTAACGTTATAGGCCTACATGCATAAAATAATTGTCTCTTTAAAATATTCTTTTTGCGATTATTTGCCCTTGCGTTCAGGTAATATGCGTGTATCGTTCTGCCTAAGAAGCAGACACGGTTTGTCTTCTCGCATTTGCTAGTTTCCAAATCATCTAACGGACCGCATAGAAATTTTGCGAGGGGTACATGAGGTTTATGGGCCCCATAATCCCGACCCCTGGTCTGTAGCTTGAAGACATTATAGTACGAATATGACATTCTCACGTGAATGTGACGAAAATAGGTTAAAATTGCCATGAACATTAAGCTAGTAGAATAAGTTTCACATTTTTAAAAATTTTAAATCCGCATTATCTATTGAATTTCTGATATGTTGAATATAATTTATGACTGGAATTTGGACGTTAAAAGGGAAATACAAACGAAAGGACACATTTGAATTTCGATCACTTAAAAGCTTGTTATTTCCAGCAGCATTAAGAGTAAAAACAAGTGTATCCTCAAATTTGAAAGCGTTGAGGGTTCGTAGGATTAAAAGTTTGAGTAACAATAATTTCAGGCACTGACTACAGTTTATCTGCTTTGGCTTCATGAGCTACATGAGGATGTTTTGTATTTTCATTTGCAGTTGAACTGGTTGAGAATGGAGCTCAAGTACTGTAGTTTCTGGTAATAAAGTCGAATCGCTGGGTGCCATAATGTCATAATTGGCTATTTTGATAGTGGTGAAAGATGTGTGCTTGTGGGCACTCAATCGATTCTCTTGTAAATTAATTCTATACGCCACGTACAGCTAAAATTTTTATAAATACTTGTATAAAGTACGTAATGTACAATTTTCATTTCAGTGTAATATGGAAAGTTGACTATTTATAAGAAAACACTGAGTCGTAATATTCTGAAATATGTATCTTGAGCTCAGAGGTAGCATGATTTTAAAGTAGTCGATAAAATTAATTTTTACTCAAAGTCATATTAGTGTTAACTCTGATAACTCGTTTCCATTTAACGCAAGTTATATGACGTACTTGTTCAGAACGCTAGCTATAGTTGCCGTTTCGAAGTTATCGTTATCAGGAAAAGCAATTGATACGTTATTCCAAAATATTTCTACTAAATTCAGTGCTTTATTTAACCTGAACAACGAGGAATAAAAACTTAATTTAAATACTATTCAGATCATAATTTCAAGGAATTTATATTATTGTGTTCAACCTGTTTCTTTACAATTTTGTCCATATGTCGCAATTTCATCCCAAAATTTGGGCACTGTCTTGCGAAATTTTTTGACGCGGCTCAAAATTGTGTGCTTTCTGATCCAACTTTGACGACAAACGTTACCTAGAAACCTTTTCTGACCTTTTATGTGTTTTCAGATAGTAAAATATACTCTTCAGTAATGAATATCTGCTGTTCAGAACTGTAGACCGTCATTTATATTAGATCTACAAAATCTAACACAAACAAATGGTTTCAGCATTGCAGTGTGTCAGCAAAGATTTTTCAAATTGTAATAAAACGTTGGGAAGAAAATTTAGTTGAAATTTGGTAGGTACATTTTATACCAACCTATATAATAGGTCTACTATTTACAATTTAATCAAACGAAAATGTTTCCTTTTACCCGACAAGTCATTAGAATCTCCGTGCCGTAAACGTTTTCTGCCCAACGTCTGAAGAGTTCTAGAATCTTAATCTAAAAGGCTATATAAGTATAACAGCTAAATCATAATATATTTTAGATTTAGGATGCGTGAGAGTCTTTACCTAAACCAACCAATACATTTTTAATTTTGTTACATGGGATATGGACGCAACTTTGTATTTATTCCTCTTGGTCTTGTGTCTTAAGGAATTGAACCGACAAATGACGGTAGTGGTTGTTGATACAAGCATGAGGTCATGGACCAAGAAGGAGACGCAGCAATGGTTTAATATTATTATTATTATTATAGTTATTAATATTGTTGTGGTGAACTGCTTATATTGGGAATGCAACAGAACTCTCGATGTTAAATATATTCTTCTCTTTCTAGCCACAGTGAGAGAAATGTGTACTGCGTGTTGGTTTGTGTTGTCTTGTACATTTAAATTGTGTTATTATTTTGAATGAAATAAATATCAGATCATTAGTAACAGTACCAAGATAATGTTGTTGTATGAGTTTCGGTAAATAATAACAATGTTGTATTTTAATATAAGTAATTAAAAATATAATAAATTACCTTGAATAAGAATTGACTGGTTTTTCTTAACCCTTGTAATATTCGCTTTGAAATGTATTAGATTTGCATCCTTTCAAAATGCAGTTGTAAAAATTTATGTCTCGTCATAAAAATAAGGTGAAAAATTATAATCAAAAATAATTTAAAGGTAGCTAATAACGTATTTGAAAATGTAGGACGTTTTAAGCATTTTGGAACGACATTTATGAGTTAAAATCGCGCGAATGAGATCTTCACGGAAGTGAGGATGTTGTTCTTCTGGGTTTCCGCGCAGTTTAGACACTTCGACGACGGACGAGTATACAAATCTCCAAGACCCACAAGAGAAAAATCATCAAAACAAAATATCATCCACAAAGAGACTGAGAGAGGATAAAATTCGAGAAATTTTTCTTGTGATTGAGTCCAGAATTTTTTCGTTCTGCTTCAGAAGAACGTTTAGATTAAAGTATAGCTGGAAAAGCTACATTATGAGGACCCTGGTAAAATGAAATCTTCACCACTAAATATCATTATGTTAACCAGACGGGGGAGGATGAGATGGACGGGGCTCGTAGCACATATGAAAGAGACGAAGAACGCATAAAAAGTGTATTTTGAAGATTCGAAAGCAAAAAGGCCAATTGGAGACATCGGGTAGATGAATATTAGAATAGAATGTAAAGAAATAGGTTGTGATATTGTGGCCTGTATTTATCTGATTCTGATTGGGAGGCTCATTGGAGAATATAATTAATCTCCCGGAAGCGTAAATAGCGGACAATTTCCTGTCTAGATTTACGAATTAGAATTTCTCTTGAAGCATTCTGCTCCAACGAATTAAAAGATACTTAATAAATTAATAGCGTATTTTAACGCAAGGTTAAATATTGTCGGTCACTTATCAGTGTCAATAAAATAAAGTACGACGCTTTATATAATGCTTGAGACAGTAGCATAGTGAAGAACATAACCTCCGTGAGAATTTTTCAAGACTCGATTTATGTGTCGAGTTGACTCGATCGATATCGTGTCTGTCTCATGCTGAGCGAACGGCACTCTATCACCGGCTTTGGAAAAAATATTCCTCTTCCAGCTTTTACGTCCAGATTATTTCTGGGGACCACCCAGCCTCCTTTCCAGTGAGTACCCAGGATCCTTTGCCCGGAAGCAAAGTGCGGCCGTGGCCTAACGCTGACCACTTACCCAATCTAGTTTCGAAGTCAAGAATGAGTTGGAGCTCAATCACCTCTCCGCCGAAGCGTCTCAGTAGCGTGTAGTGGGAGAGACTTACTGATTGTTAAAGAAGATAAGACAAAGGAAAATGAATTATTGAAATACGCGAAGAACTTGACGTTGATTATACGGTAGATTTTGATGGAGATTGAAAGAACATATATAGATGAAGTGAGTGGAAATGATGATTTTAACTTATGTCCTGTTCTTTTTCTTCTAAAGACAATCACAATCATCAGACTGATTCCCAAATGTAGACCGTTTATGTTCAAACTGAATTTGCGATATAATACAAATCTACATTTAGAATCGCGTGACTAGTCTAATCGCGAAGCGTTTTTCTTTTATTCCGCATTTTCTAGTTTCTCGGCTATACCAGATAACTATAAAAATACT